ATCCACAAGGAGATGAGCAACATTTGCTTGGAGGTAGTCGTTGACTCTGTAAAGGAATGAATCCAGTAAGATTCAAGGCCATAGCAACCACAGCAATGATTTGAAGTCAACATAAACACATATCTTACCGCTTGCAAAGTTGCGCTTTGGTCGATAATCCTTTACAGCTATCCCCGCGACATTTCAACCAAAACTTCAGCTCAGAATTTTTTAAACGATTCGGATCTCTTCCGTTTAATGAACTTCCCGGAATATCGTCTTCAGTTAAAAACGGAGGACCGTACACAAGAGTGTTTGCAAGAGACGCCATCTTCTGTTGTCTTTGGCGTTGGCCCTCGATGCCTCGCTTTCGTGTCAACTCGGCCCAGACCATCCGCGGTGGCCGCCATTTTGGAATTAAGCGTATACGTAAGTGCATTTCTCTATATGTTGCATGAGAATAATTTCTCAGCAGGATAAGAAAGTGGTCTACTACGGTAATCCATGAATTAGTGTCTGAGATGGAATATGTTGCATTATTTCTCAGATTTCTTCGACAATCTTTTCAAATAGAATTCCAACCTAGAGTTAATTTGAAAATGTATCTAAACAGCTGGACTACACAAACATGCTATTTTCATTACGGTGACATTGGTAGAAATCTATAAAAGCAACCGAGCAAAACACCGAATGTATACACGAGGTTCATGCACAAGCGAGTATTTTCTTGCTACAACTACATGTTTCGAATATTTTATGTGTGCGAAGATTTTATTTAGCTCACACTCACGTATTTACAACAACATTTATAGTTACCTGTAATTTGCTCTAAAATTATGCCAGTGGAATAGATTATAAATTAAAGAACAATATAAGCGACGGGCCAATTTCAGCCAAAAACACGTCGACAGAGTTGGTATCTTTATAAACAGCGATTTGTTTATTCAGCATTCGAGAAAAATAAACTCAAAAACTTTACCTAAAACGGTGGTTTGTTCCCTTGGCAATAAAGGTAGGGTAATTTTTAAGTTAAAATTGATAAATTTAAATGAATCAAAACAGAAGTAGAGACCAAACACTTCGAGTTTTGTCCCAATAGCGTGTGATAGCGTCCCAATAGCCGAACTCCGTGAAAATGCACGCTGTATATTTTGGTCTGGCGCGCTCGCTTTTCACGGGCCAAAAATAATGTTTTTACATGATAAACATGAAGAATTGCTCGTTGAAAAGAGCTCTTTTATTTTAGGTACATTCGTATACCCCCAATGTTATGGTCGTCTGAAATATGGCAAAATTCAGCGTACAAACGGAATACAAAATATAATGTACTTTACGCGGGTGGTTACAAACGAAAGAAAGTTTAGTTGGAGAGGAAATATAGTTGGAGAGCTATTCCAAGGGATGAAAAAAATGAATCCAATATAATTTTTCGTTGTCTAGTACGAGCGTTGTGAAAGTGCACTGAAAGACCGATATAAATTTGCAAATTAGGTAGGTTTTGGCCGATTTCGAACTTTCGTTTTTTTTGCCAAAATAAAACTCGCTGGAACTTTTGAATATTATTTTTTAAAACAATTCACCAAAAGGGTCTTTTGGAGCAAATAAAAAAAAGTTGAATTTTTGCTTGTGTCGCCGGATTCTTGAAAATTACTTACAACTTCTCTTAAGTTTAGGCTTCTTCATGTACTATAGTGTATACGTGCGCACAAACTGGTCTATTTCGCTGATTGAGATTGGTACACTGAAAGATGTCGGTCCTCGACAAATCACACAGAAATAAATCATGTTTAACTGTACACCAAACTGCTCATCGAGAGGGTCAAAATGCATTTACAACTGTCCTATTCTATTTTAGAATCGATAAATTTTTTATGAGCATTATATGAGTTCGGAGATGTCGGTTTACGTTATATTCGATGAAACGCCCTCGAGTAACTGCCGTATTTTAGAGCAAGAATATTGATAAACGCCGCCCCCGAATAAATGCCGCATCATGACGCGACTCTTATTCGAATAATAGACTCAAAAAAGCAGACCGATGACTACTGAGGGCCTGTTTTCAAGGAGATGGGGAGCCCCAGGTAGGTGAAGTAACCCGCCTAACTGGGTAACCCGCCTGTCCATATAATCTATTATTTCATCTTGATCACGTTTACATGATAGGTGGGGTGACCCATCTAGGTGGGTTGCCCGGTCTGCTGGGTAGGGTAACCCTGTCAGCAAGGGTTAAACGTCTCAAGGTCGGTTAACCCGCCCACGCAGGGCGCCGTTCATGTTACAAAGGGATCAAATAAGGAAAACAACAGCGAAACACGAGTGTGTTAAGACTTTGTACATTTCTTGGTCTTCCCATGCAGAGCTAAAACGTTAAAACATTAATTTTTACATCCACTTAGCAATAAAACATCGACAGTGATTTAGTCACGTTTTTACTATCAACTCAACTCTACATTCACACGTTATGCCAAAGTGAAGACGTTGTACTGTCAGAAACGGTTAACGCATCGAGCTATTAGCCAAAATCTTAGAGGAAAATTAATTTTTTCTGCAACGTTTTTACAACACGTTTTTACGACATCTTAAACTCCTTAATTGCAAGTGTGATAACAACCTCGAGAAACTTCAGCCTGGCATCCCGGGGTTGTAAGATTGTATGTAAACGCTGGCTATTTTTAGCCCACGGTTAGGCGGGTCACCTCACCTAAAACAGGCCCTTGGGCAATGAAATATAGGTTGGTGGTTGATTAGTAAATTGCATTTTAAATAAACGCCGCCCTCGAATAAACATCGCACTTCAATCACGAAAATTTTAATAAACGCCGAGGCGTTTAATCGAATAAATACGATAAGTGAAAACACTTTATTAGCTCTATATTTAAGAGAGCTCCTTTGTAAGAAATTTTTATAAGAGTTGTTTACAGTCTGTTGGACCAAGTTCTATCCACCAATCTTTCGATGAAAGAATTTATAATTGGTGCCAATCCTGATCTTCCTGCAGCCAGCTAATTTCCCCAAGGTCTTGAAACAGGTAGGAAATCGACAATCATCCCTTCATATCTGGGGCTCTTCTGACTCGTCATTAAGTACTAGGCCTTTGCGGAAGTAGGCATCCGCCGGCACACATTACCATTTTAGAGTTATCCACAACAACTTTGTTTACCTCGCCCCTATTGTGTCCCCACCTCCCCCCTATTGTCAATTCCCCCCCCCCACCCCACAAACCTCCCGTTCAGGAAGCTTTCAGTGATCAAATTTCATTGAATGGCTCTGCAGCTCGCAACAGAAATAAAAAAACAATGCCTATGAATGTTTTTTGTCTTGGTTTTTAATGAAAGAGAGACGCTCGAAACTTTGAAGTAATGAAAATCAAAGGGCTCTTGGAGCCAGCTCATTCATGTTATGGCTTAGGTTTGAATTGATTTCTTGGACTTGCTGAATATAGGTGCAGATGAATTCGGTTTATGTGAACTTTCAAGACTTTTGGAATAAATTTTCTTTTATTTTTGGGCAGTTGTGTGATAAGAAAACTTGTGCATTCGTAGTGATGGGGATCGGAAAAAAGTTTGTGTGGGCTGGAGGTGGGATGGGCAGAGGTCATTAGGCAGACTACGCCCTCAGTTGGCTGCAATATATCTCATAACGCTGACTGCCGCAATAATTATCTATTAAATATTCCTTGCCCGTTTCTTGATATCTTTTGTTTTAAACAAAGCGGCCATTGCATTTGATTTTTAACAAAGCGGCCACAATCGTTCCTAATAGAATTTCAAGTCTTCATCTAATCTGATTTTCACATATTAATATTTGCGTAGTCACCAAACCAACGAGAGATAAAACCACCAAAAAAGTTAACAAATGGCCAGTCACGAGGGCAACGCTTCGCTTTTCCCTATAAAAATTCTCCGGTTTCTCATGAAAACCAATGACAATATAAGACACTAAGGGGAAATCAGTATGTGTACACTTCTGAACGTTGAAAATATATCAAGTCGAAAGAAAAGTTCTGGTCTTGGTTCGCATTTTTGTCAGCAAAATGAACACATATCGGTTAAAAAGATGAATTTCTCGAATATTGCGCAGGTTAAATATTCAATAGTGGCATCCATTTACATCCACATCTACTTTTAGTAAGTTGGTAAATTCTGTAAAGACATCACGCCAACCAACTCGCGCGGAAAATGAGAATACTAAACGAGGCTTGAAAAAAATTAAGAACGATTGTGATCAAGAGACAGGCAAGGAATATTCCACAATAGTGCAAATAATCGCGAAAGATGATCGCGGAAAAGCTTGCGTGACGCTCGGTAAGTTGTAAGATGCCATGTTATCACGTATCAGACGAAAAAACAGTACAAATTCTCAGTCTGCATTTTGTACCCGGTCTGCGGTCCGTAGTCTGCATTTTGCACAGAGTACGAAGCCATCCAAGCGCTTGATACGGCTGGACACGGTCCTCAAATAACTCCATATTTCTCTTTGAAATATACTAATTTTTCATTGGAAAATATTCTACCTTCATTTACAATCCTCAAGCGCTTCTAAAAAGTGAAAAAATGCCAACGTTGTCCGTTTCGCTGGCCTTGTACACAGAGTGCGAAGAGATCCAAGCGTGACACTAAGAAAATTTTCACCAGACACTACCGGACACGGTCTTTAAATAACTAGACGTCCGGCAGTCTGATATTTTTCCATATTTCTCTTTGGAAAATACCAGTTTCTATTGGAAGTATTTTGTCTTCATTTAGAATCCTCAAGCGCTTCTAAAAAGTGAAAAAATTTGAATATTGTCCTTTTCGCCGACTCTTCATAGAGTACGAAGAGCTCCAAGCGTGTTCAGGGTGGCTCTTGAGAAAGACGATTTTAGAAGGTTTTTAGTGATCTGGGAATTCCGTGTTACAGGAAATTGGGTCGCGTCAAGGTTGAAAGGCGTTGCATCAAGGTTGAAAATGGGCCTTTAACTTGTAACTGTAGGATAAAAAGAGGCTCCGAAAACAACAGTGAAATAAACAAATTCTCCCAGAGTACCATTCTTTTTTATTATGATAGATTAAGTATGCATCATTGCAACAAGATTTCTTTTCCAGATTGCAGGAAAATGCGTTTCTGGGAGACTTATCTTTTAAAAAATTTCCCGGGGGAGCATGCCCCCGGACCCCCCTAGAGGTTCGGGCCTTCGGCCCTCAATTTTCAAGGGAACCTGCCTACTTTAAAGGCAGTGCCCTTTTACTTCAAAGTTGCAAATTGGTTAGCGTCTTGTTCACTTTGATTGCCTCAGCAATACATGTAGCACCCGCAGCACTAATACCATTGTTTTGCAAATCCAAATTGGTTAGCGTCTTGTTCACTTTGATTGCCTCAGCAATACATGTAGCACCCGCATCACTAATACCATTCCCAGACAAATCCAAATTGGTTAGCGTCTTGTTCACTTTGATTGCCTCAGCAATACATGTAGCACCCGCATCACTAATACCATTGTAAGACAAATACAAATTGGTTAGCGTCTTGTTCACTTTGATTGCCTCAGCAATACATGTAGCACCCGCATCACTAATCATATTCCCAGACAAATCCAAATTGGTTAGCGTCTTGTTCACTTTGATTGCCTCAGCAATACATGTAGCACCCGCAGCACTAATACCATTGTAAGACAAATCCAAATTGGTTAGCGTCTTGTTCACTTTGATTGCCTCAGCAATACATGTAGCACCCGCAGCACTAATACCATTGTAAGACAAATCCAAATTGGTTAGCGTCTTGTTCACTTTGATTGCCTCAGCAATACATGTAGCACCCGCAGCACTAATCTTATTCTCAGACAAATCCAAATTGGTTAGCGTCTTGTTCACTTTGATTGCCTCAGCAATACATGTAGCACCCGCAGCACTAATACCATTCTCAGACAAATCCAAATTGGTTAGCGTCTTGTTCACTTTGATTGCCTCAGCAATACATGTAGCACCCGCAGCACTAATACCATTGTAAGACAAATCCAAATTGGTTAGCGTCTTGTTCACTTTGATTGCCTCAGCAATACATGTAGCACCCGCAGCACTAATACGATTCCCAGACAAATCCAAATTGGTTAGCGTCTTGTTCACTTTGATTGCCTCAGCAATACATGTAGCACCCGCATCACTAATACCATTACCTCGCAAATACAAATTGGTTAGCGTCTTGTTCACTTTGATTGCCTCAGCAATACATGTAGCACCCGCAGCACTAATACCATTGTCAGACAAATCCAAATTGGTTAGCGTCTTGTTCACTTTGATTGCCTCAGCAATACATGTAGCACCCGCAGCACTAATACCATTCTCAGACAAATCCAAATTGGTTAGCGTCTTGTTCACTTTGATTGCCTCAGCAATACATGTAGCACCCGCAGCACTAATACCATTACCTCGCAAATCCAAATTGGTTAGCGTCTTGTTCACTTTGATTGCCTCAGCAATACATGTAGCACCCGCAGCACTAATACCATTAAAAGACAAATCCAAATTGGTTAGCGTCTTGTTCACTTTGATTGCCTCAGCAATACATGTAGCACCCGCATCACTAATACCATTCCCAGACAAATCCAAATTGGTTAGCGTCTTGTTCACTTTGATTGCCTCAGCAATACATGTAGCACCCGCATCACTAATACCATTTAATTGCAAATTCAAATTGGTCAGATTCAAACCAGTTCCAAACGACTTCGATAAATGCGAGTGAAAATCACTTTTTTCTCTTTTGCATTCGTTGATGGCCTCCAATACAATTTTTGCACCACGGCCTTCATTTTTGTTGACTTCATTTGTTAAACTCTTTACAAGAGCCACAACCTGTTCATCGCATTTCATGGCCAAAATTCCACATGAAAACAAAAGTATTTGTTTAAGTTCAACGAAATACCTTGGATCGGAAACTAGTTCTTCAGGTTTCATTTCCTTGCTTTGAATCTGAGAACAAATGAAGAATGCTGCAAAGAATTCTTGAAAACTTTTATGTAAGAAGGCATAATGCAGTGTTTGTCTCAGTTTGCTGCCACCAGGCTGCACTGACAGAAATCCAAATTCAGTCAGGTCTTTTGCATGGTTTCTCAATTCACTTTCATTAAAATCCAGCTTATCGTCAAGTAAACCATTCAACGCTACCTTTCCAAGGTGATTCAATTGCGGTTTGTAATGGTTTGTCAAGTCTTCGATCTTTTCTAGTAGTCCCTTCTTTTTTCTATATCTTCTCAAAACACATTCAACCATATCCAAGTACAGTTGAGCTCTGCTTTCGGGGAGTGTGCCCTCAAACTCTTCGCATAAAAGGCAAAGAAGTGCTGTGTTTAGAGGATTGGCCGCTATTTCTCTCAGGTTTTTATCTCGCGACATCCGTTGCGAGAGCTTGGTGGCTAAATCCGTCCTTTCTTTAAAGTACTTGGTGACAAATTCTATCACATGCTTTTCAGTGAATCCTTCGATCTGAAGCAGCGCGTCACAACATTTTCTCACCTCTTTTCCAGCTTCGTGTCTTGCTGTTGCAACTATGTGGCATCTGGGGAGTACTTTTCCTTCAATTAATTTGGAAAACATCGACAATTTGCCGGATGGTAACTCATCCAATCCATCCAATATCAATAAAATGCTGGACTGATTTTCACGAATAAACTGAAAAAATTGTCGTTTGACTTTTTCATCGATGTCTAGGGACAGCAGCTGATCATCAATGGCTTCCCAGACGTCAGAATGGATGTCTCGACATTTCAACAACAATACCACTTTAAATGCTGTGGAGCCGCAGCCCTGAGGTTTTTGCTGTTTTGTGGCCCAGTCGTAGGCGTACTTTTTACAATAGGTGGTTTTTCCCATACCAGGTTCTCCTTCAATCAACACTGTTCTCGGCGCTGAACACTCTTCATATGGGTCTAGTATTGACGACATGTCCACAAATACGTCAGTGATTTCTCCTCTCGTTTTCTTTCTTCTGACCACTTTGAGCCTTGTAAAAATATTTCCAAGAAAAAACTGAAACTCTTCACACCATGGAAATGGTGAGAGCCATCCCTCGCGAGTCTTGTACAGCTGGCGAATTCCATTGATAAGCTCAGTTGGATCAAAAATACCTAGCAGTAGCAAAATAAGTAAGAAAACTGATGAATGCAGCATTGAAAATTGTGGTGCCTCTCTGGTATTCGGCACTGGATTTAAATAAGTGAATGAGTACGATACCGTTGCCAAAGAAATTACTTGGACGATGCAAAAAGGTTTTAGTGTATGATTCATGCTTACTGATTAAAAGCCATTTAGATCATGAATTCAGATAAACCTACTCTGTTTGTTCGGCTTTAGGGGTGTCTGACAGTGGAACTCTGTCGTAAAATAAATTACTCGGGAGATAAATATTCATATCATTGGAGCCGAACAAATAAATGGAAACCAAACAACGCCTTTCTGCCTTCTTTGTCACGCGGTTTCATTAAAAGTGCTGCAGAAAACCGGGGGCTCGCCTGCGATGAAGTGGCAGGCTTTTCTAACAGTCTTTTCCTCAGGAAATGTAAAAGAACGACATGCACCTTATTCTAACTCATTTTACTCAAGACGCACACTAAGAATTTTTTAGCACGCGCGATATTTGAATGCTTCTTTTCTTTGGTAGATAAATAACCTGAGAGCTGCGGATTCGTAATTCAATAGTCCGTCGAGCGAAAAAGTAATCAAAATTCCCTGTGAGCAAACTCGTGAATTGACAGATGCCTTACATGATTTTTTGTATCATGTTTAATGTTATCTGCTTTAGGGAATTTTGTGGTTGATCGTCATATTTAGAGTACAAGCAGTAGTTCAGTGTTCGCTAATGTAGCAAAGAAACAAAGTGACGTTGGGATAAGAAGGCATTACAACTGAAATGATCATGCTATTACATTTGACAATGGTGGATAATGTGTTTTAAACATTTATCATTTTTGTTTCTAGTTCAAATGTGGGTGAAAATTAAAATCTACTGTCTATCGTTGTAAATATTGGAAAATCAAGGCAATGCTTTCTTAATGAAAACATTAATGATTCCCTCTTTATCAAATGAGACAAACGGGAAGGAGTTTTACTGCCACCGTCATTTTGGATTTCCGCCTTGGTAGATTTTGGTCATGTGCTAGGCAACGTATAATCAAGAACAAGATAGAATTTCATTCCAGGCCTATTTATCAATTTTGTGGTGTATAACTTTCGCATTTTAGTACGTAATATTTATTTTGAATCTTCAAATTGTCTTGAAACTTAAAATAAATTGTCCTTTAAAAAGTCGCTGAAGATCGGTAGCCAAAATTATTTGTTTAGGTGTTATTTGATTTTCGTGTTAACGAGTAATTTCGTCAGTCGCCGGCACCTTTCTTTGCTTCTCACAGAAAAACACACGATACGAAATGTAATGATTGGTTTTGTCCCCAATCCCACACCATAACAAAAAAGCTTTAGAACACCTATAAACTCCGAGCGCTTCGGAGTAAGTGATGTTTTTAACGAATCTTCGGATTGATTTCATGTTCAAGGATTGTAAATTACAATTTTATCAAAAACGAAGGTTGTTCTCTTATTCCAGTGTGAATCCTCGCACGCCTGCTAGTCGCTGGCGCCGCTTGTTGAAACTAAAACGAAAAAAATTAACTCTTTTAAGACTATCATTGGCTTCTTTTTCACCCCACCACTATTCTTAGCAACAAAGGTCGCCATTTCGTTTGTTTATTACTCGCCAAAAACTATCAAATGCACTCAAAAGCCTAAAATCCAAAAAAAGTTTACAGGAATCGACCAATCGAGCGAGCGAGCGAGTGCCATTCTCCACACCATATCTACAACTCGCTCTTGTGCATGCGCGTAATTCACGAGTTAAAAACCAATGGTGGTCGGAAAGTGGCCACCGCAAGATTTTCACGCAGTTCCGCTCTCCAGTGTTCTTGTCGCACGAATGACTGCTCGTACCTAATGATTTCCTATTTTCGCGGGAGTTTCAAAATTAAACTTTTTGCGATTGTCAAAGATTCGCGTTCTTTTGACGTTCTTGATGTATTTTTAACCTCTGCGTACTTTTTTTGCCAAATCGCAAAATTTTTTATCGGACAGTTTGCCTATCATACTCGCGATAAACAAATCGAACTTCCGCTGCGCGGTCGTCCGATTTTGTTATTACTCGTATGATTACAGACCAAATTGGACTCCACTCAGTCCTATTACCATTACTTATTATGCACACAAATAATCAAGTCTGACTTGCGTAGCGCGCGCGAGATTTGAACTGCTCTCATACTATGAAAGATAAATCTGAGAGCAGCGAGTCGTGATTCGATAGTTCGTCGAGCGAGAAAGTGAATGTTTCTCCCTCCAACTTTCTCGCTGCTATTCTCTTTTATCAAATGTTCTTTTCGCTGTCTGCTTGGAAAACCATGATCGGAAAGAATAGAGAGGGACAGCTCTTAGTTTATGACTGCATGGCGAACGCCTCGCTTCCGTGGCTGAATGCATGCTCTCATCGTCAGTGCCTAGCGTAGTGCGTCTCTGGATAAATAGTTAGATATATCTTTGGCCAGTTTAAAGCAAGATAAAAGCAAACAGTGGCGATATCATAGTTGTAAGCAACCGCCTTCTATGCTTTAATATTGTTCACCTTTATGCAACCGTCGCCCCTACCCGTCCCCCGCATCATCGTTATTTGCACCGAACGAATCCTACCAGTATCACCCTCCCCAGGGAGAATTTGTCTTTCCTTCAGTCTTTCCGAGCGTTTAAATTTCCCGCTGGTATGATAATCGGAAACTTCGACAAATCCCTCATGTAATATATAAAAGTTCACAAGGCAACCAAGTGGACAATCAGACATGGTTTGATGCTACTCTGGTTTACAGATTTTATGAATGTAACCGAAGAAGTTACAATTCATAGACCCAAAGTTTCGACACTCTTGTCTTGTGCCTTCATTAGGGGTGATCTAAACGCTGCAACAAGAGGTCCTTTTGTATGATCACTAATTAGCTGCCTTTTTTCTGACGGCGAATCAATGGTGATGGTTGGTTTCTCAGGCAATCAATGGGTCTCAAAGGAATTCCCGCTTTATGAATTTCGGGTAAGCCATAAAAACGTGGACATAAGCCGTCACTACTGTAGAAAATTTTGTATGTAGAGTCACTAATCTTCACTAATGATCACCACCAATTGACGTTACCACCAGCGCCTTTGTTTGGAAGCTTGGCATATTAACTCCGCCCACGCTCCTTTAAATCGTGACGATGTCGGCTTACTCCCTGACGCCTATTTACACCTCGTCAGAAAAAAGGCAATTAATTAGTGATCATATAAAAGGACCTCTTGTTGCAGCGTGTAGATCACCCCTGATGAAGGCACTAGACAGGAGTGTCGAGACGTTGGGTCTATGAATTGTAACTTCTTCGGTTACATTCATTAAATCTGTAGGCCAGAGTAGCATCAAACCATGTCCAAATCCCTCATGTGTTCTTAAGCTGTTGCGCCATTGTTCAAAAATGGCCCTTTAAGATCATTTTTCTCTTCTATAACAAAGCCTATTGTTAAAAATGTTGAGCCACTTTTCTTGGTACGTTTATTTCATTTCAAACGATTCTATCAAAAGTAAAGTGAGAAGTCTTAAATAAAGGTACATACCACTCTTTGTCTTAAATGTTCTGACATCTGGCTCACTGTCTCCTTGTTCGTTGACAGCAAACAGTTGCACTACGTACTCTGTGTCATACTCAAGACCAGTAATCGTGTGGCGAGTTTCAACAATATCTCCTTGTTGAAAGATTTTTGTGGATCCTGTCATGAATTGTTTCCTACATTCCAGACGGTATTTAATGCTGCAATTACTGCTGGCGGACTCAGCTTCTGACCAGGTAACAATGAGATCCTTGTCAACTGCTACTTCTGTGTTTGTGATAATTGGTTTCTCAGGTAAACCTGTTAAAATGATACTTTTTTTACACTTTGTCTCTAAAAACTGTGAAATACTTATTCTAACTAAAACTAAACATATTGACGGGTAAGTAAAACATTGATGAACAACTCTTTCTAGCATGAAAAATTAATAACAAGTCTTATCAATATAATTTACGACTAAATCAAAGATGACGATAGTAAAAAAATGTTGGGCAAATAATTAATGTTTCTCATAAGAGAGCTGCAGCATGAGTATTAAACTTGTTGTCAGAAAGTTTCACCATCCTCCCCCCGTTAAAAGCAGTGTTACTCCTGTATTTAGGACCCAACAGTGTTTCTTTTATTTCATTTCAAACAATTCTACCAAAAGTAAAGTGAGAAGTCTCAAATAAAGGTACATACCACTCTTTGTCTTAAATGTTCTGACATCTGGCTCACTGTCTCCTTGTTCGTTGACAGCGAACAGTTTCACTTCATACTCTGTGTCATACTCAAGACCAGTTATCGTGTGGCGAGTTTCAACAATATCTCCTTGTTGAAAGACTTTTGTGGATCCTGTCATGAATTGTTTCCTACATTCCAGACGGTATTTAATACTGCAATTACTGCTGTTGGACTCAGCTTCTGACCAGGTAACAATGAGATCCTTGTCAACTGCTACTTCTGTGTTTGTGATGATTGGTTTCTCAGGTAAACCTGTTCAAAATGATACTTCTTTCACACTTTGTCTCTAAAAACTGTGAAATACTTATTCTTACTAAAACTAAACATGTTGACGGGTAAGTAAAACATTGATGAACAACTCTTTCTAGCATGAAAAATTAATAACAAGTCTTATCATTGTAATTTATGACCAAATAAAGGATGACGATAGTAACAAAATGTTGGGCAAATAATTTATTTTCCTCATATGAGAACTGTAGCATGAGTATTAAACTTGTGGTCAGAAAGTTTCACAATCTTCCCCCCTTTATAACAGTGTTACTCCTGTATTTAGAACCCAACAGCGTTTCCTTTATTTCATTTCAAACAATTCTACCAAAAGTAAAGTGAGAGGTCTTTAATAAGGGTACATACCACTCTTTGTCTTAAATGTTCTGACATCTGGCTCACTGTCTCCTTGTTCGTTGACAGCGAACAGTTGCACTACGTACTCTGTGTCATACTCAAGACCAGTTATCGTGTGGCGAGTTTCAACAATATCTCCTTGTTGAAAGACTTTTGTGGATCCTGTCATGAATTGTTTCCTACATTCCAGACGGTATTTAATACTGCAATTACTGCTGGCGGACTCAGCTTCTAACCAGGTAACAATGAGATCCTTGTCAACTGCTACTTCTGTGTTTGTGATGATTGGTTTCTCAGGTAAACCTGTTAAAATGATACTTTTTTTACACTTTGTCTCTAAAAACTGTGAAATACTTATTCTAACTAAAACTAAACATATTGACGGGTAAGTAAAACATTGATGAACAACTCTTTCTAGCATGAAAAATTAATAACAAGTCTTATCAATATAATTTACAACTAAATCAAAGATGACGATAGTAAAAAAAATGTTGGGCAAATAATTAATGTTTCTCATATGAGAGCTGCAGTATGATTATTAAACTTGTTGTCAAAAAGTTTCACCATCCTCCCCCCGTTAAAAGCAGTGTTACTCCTGTATTTAGGATCCAACAGTGTTTCTTTTATTTTATTTCAAACAATTCTACTAAAAGTAAAGTGAGTAATCTTAAATAAAGGTACATACCACTCTTTGTCTTAAATGTTCTGACATCTGGCTCACTGTCTCCTTGTTCGTTGACAGCGAACAGTTTCACTTCATACTCTGTGTCATACTCAAGACCAGTTATCGTGTGGCGAGTTTCAACAATATCTCCTTGTTCAAAGACTTTTGTGGATCCTGTCATGAATTGTTTCCAACATTCTAGACGATATTTAATACTGCTATTATTGCTGCTGGCCTCAGCTTCTGACCAGGTAACAATGAGATCCTTGTCAACTTCTACTTCTGTGTTTGTGATGGTTGGTTTTTCTAGAAAACATGTTCAAAATTATGCTTCTATTAAACTTCATCTTTGATAAATGTGAAATACTTATTGTAATCACGTAAAACACGAGTACACGTCAATTTAATCATTTCAACAAGTAATAGTAATGGCTGATTCAGTTGTATTTTCAACTATTCCACTGTTATTAAAGGGTTATTAGGTATTAGGGGGAAGTTGTGACTCATTGAAATTTCTATTTCTTGCCGAAAAAGGGGTCAATGGAAAATTGACAAGCGTCAGTTATTGCTTTTTTACCGTCATTTGGTCTCTCTGGAATGGAATTTGACCTCGTGATCCAAACAGTACCAGTAAGACTCTCCCAAATAGGTTGTTTAGAATTATGAAGTGTAATATACAAACAAACACTTCCCCCTCCCCCTTTAAATTTTTGTGGGTTGTCTTCTATATGCTCATGCAAAATCTCTTTCTTTGGTTTAGTCATTGCCATAATTATATCGCTGACTAACATTTCTGTACCAGTGTTTTGGCTATGGTAATTTACTAGCAGTTAAACTATAAAATATTTACTTACTTTGCAGTAACTCTTGAACCTCAAAGTCTTCAAGGTTTCCTAACAACTTTTGCACATAGTTTCCCCTGATACGGTACAAATGCAGGACTTCCAATATACTGACCACCATAAAGAAGGCATCGACAGAGATAAAAGTTATGTTTAGGTAAGATTTCTCCTTGTAATGAAGATCATTACATTGCAGTTTTAATTTTGTCTGGTTGAGTGAACTTGGCGTGGTTTGACTGTTGGTCTGCAAGATCTCTTTAACACCACACTTAAAAACTGAAGGTAAAAAAATTGTCTGGTAACTGCAGACCAGCCCTAACATAACACCCAGGAAAAATATTCGAAAGAATACATGGATGAAGTAGGCGTAAAGAAATTTCTTTGTGTTTTTTTCCTTGTATGCTGGTCTTTTTCGAAGGGTCACAACACCATAAATTGCAAAGCCGATCCAGCATGCACACAAAACACTGAAGGTTATGGCAACAACGTTCCGAGGTATTAAACCATGAGGCTTGGTAACTGTGGAAATGTAGTTGTCATAGCAAAGTTGTCTGATAAAATCACTGGGTTTGGGATCGCAGTTGAAGTTAAGTCTATCATTGGCATGGTAGCTTTGTAGAATGCCCAAAATGGTAAGATGCGATGCAGGAAAAAAAATACTCTGAAATCCTCCGAGAGGAGTTTGTAACTTGAGAACTAGTTTAAAGCTATCATCCATCATTCCTCAAGTACCAGTACCTAACAAGAAGCATAAGAAAAATAATTATCAATATTAATGCACCAAATGACTTGATGACTTGCATAAATTAGACCTGACTGCCAGGTCTCCCCAACCTACCTTAGGAAGAGACATTTAAGACTTATCTGAAATTTCTGTGAATATCTTAGTATTCAAAGACAATTATCAGTGCTTTGGAGAGAATTGTCATTCAAAATAGGTTTGAACATTTTCTTCAATTTTGTGCTGATATCCCCAGAAGCTTGAGTCTTAATTAACAAATTAACACTCAAACCACCAACGAAATAAGGAAAAGAGTGGAGACTTGTCAAAAAAAAATTCATAATTTTGCTGAGGCAGCAGAAGACTCAGTGTGGCTAGGGTGTGCAACAGCCTACCGAGCTGCTCTGCCAACTATTGTTCATTATCATGCACCAAATATATTTGTCCACACTTGAATGTTCTCAAAACATCATGTGATTGAATACGCTCATCTAATTACCAGGGGAAAACAGAAAAAATGCCTCCAATTGGCATAAACAGTGCCCACGAATACTATTTGTTCTGAAATGAAAATGGGTTTGCGAGAGCAAAGCTTGAGGGAAACTGTTAGCTTTGAGGGACTGATAATGTATAAGGACAAATAAACGAGCATATTTTCACGACAAATAGAGGTTCTTGTGTTTATTATCCTTCCAATATTTTTACGTGAGAAAAAATGATTATCTATGATTAAATATCTGCTGCACATGGGATGTTTACTTTTCACTGTTGTTTGGTACGACTTCACGAGCGAACAAACACGTTCTTCTTTCTTAACAATAGCTAATAAATCTTTCCCCTCGAATTAAATTTAAAGCAAACTTTCGAAAGCAAATTAAAGCAAATTTTCGGGTGGGATCTTGTTAATCCCACCTATAATTCTGGGTGGGATCCTACCTTAATTTTTTAGGTGGGATGCCCTCAAAGCCAGGTACAGTTCCAGGCGGGATCCCACCTAACCCCCAAAATATCCTGGATTGGATTCCACCTCACCCAAAAATAATCCAAATTGAGATCCTAACTCCGTCCCCATACAATCCTAGATGGGATCCTGCCCTTTCTACTAAGGATCTTGTCTATTGTCTACAAGTGGGATGATGGATCCCAGCCACGAATATATAGCATCCTCTAAAAAATCCCAAGTAACACCCACAGGGACAATTCTGAACGTTTTTGAGACCTATATACAGCGTACTGAACATAGAGTTTGCCTAAACCACAAGCAAGCTTATACCCTTTTGGTAATTGCTTTCTAGTACAGATTTCTAGTGTGACACCGAGTTTTACATTGGAAGAGCCCTAAGGGTTACTGATAATGAGATTGAAATCAAATTTCTTTACCAAGTTGTCAAAACATTTATCTGGCCTCTCAGGAGCAATATTGATATTGTCCACAAGAGAAGAGTCTTCTATGGCTTCAAAGAGCTGAAAGGCACTGGACGTTTCCATGTTCCAAGTCTTTCATATACTGAGAGGCTTTTAAATATCTTCGAAAAGAAAATTTTTGCAAATAAATCATCAAACTAACTGCAGATTGCAGTAGTTAAACACTGCTTTAATTACGAAACTTGGATTGTTCTGAACTTTTTGTTGGAGTACTATTCATCGACTCTTAATAAGCTAGTTGATACTATTTTGGAAAGTTACACTTCCTTGAACTATATGAATTGACAACTTCCCCTATAGTATTATCAATTCAATTGCCTTTGAAAGTTGAAGTATTGCTTGTTTTAAGCTACATTTCTGACACATTGCATGTTTTATTTTAATTTGTTATCATTATTATAAATGAAGGTACGAACTCTAAATATGATATATGTCTTTCAGTAAACTTAATTCATACTTGGACTCACGTTTTGAAAATTTACACTCCTCATGTCAGCCTAATTGTTACTGCTAATGTACAGTTGTTGTTATGGTTATTGTTATAAGTGTTTAGATAAAAGCACTGCAAACTTGGATGTGATAAATTTGAACAAAATTGCTATGCATGTAGCTATTGCTATGCATGTAGCATTCATTTCTCCCTGGAGTTGCCATGGGGTCCCCACTTGCTCCAGTACTTGCAAATCTCTTTATGGGACATCATGAAAAAACCTGGTTAGACAACTATTCATTATCTGAAGTTGTTTTCTACAGACGCTATGTCGATGACACCTTCTGTTTGTTCAATAATGAGAAGGACGCGGTATTGTTCTTTGATTATTTAAACACCAGACACCCTAGTATTCGCTTCACAATGGAAAAGGAAATTAATGAGAAATTATCGTTCTTAGACATACTGATTGACAACAGTAATCCATCCATAATTACTAGCGTCTACCGCAAGAAGACGTTTACTGGTCTTCTGACGAATTATTTTAGCTTCACTCCTATGATGTACAAATTAGGTTTAATAAGAACTTTGGTTGACCGAGTATATAAGATCAATAATTCCTGGGTTGGTTTCCACAAGGATGTACAAAAACTTATTTTCTTGCTACGGAAAAATTGTTTCCCTTCCAGCGTCATAGACAGGATTATCTCAAGACATCTGGCCAAGAGCTATAATCCTTCTCCCACGCATAACGCCACATTAAACTCCGGAAACCCTTCTTCGCATTATTTTAAACTTCCTTATGTTGGGCGGTTTTCTGACATCGCTCAAACCAAGTTAAGGCATCTACTGAAACGTTATTGTAGACCTGATTTAGATATTAAGTTAGTCTTCAATACGTTTAAGCTCAGAAACTTGTTCAGTGTGAAAGATTCAGTACCACCAGGTCTACGTTCGCGTGTCGTTTATAAATTTTCGTGTGCTGGCTGTAATGCCAGTTATATTGGTGAGACCACTCGCCACATCTGTACACGGGTTCGTGAGCACCTCTTGTCTGACAAAACTTCACACATTTACAAGCACCTACAATCATCAAAGGCCTGTCTCGACTCTTGTGGTACAGAATGTTTCACCATTTTAGATTCTGCCGCTTCGAAATACAAAATTAAGATCAAAGAGGCATTGCATATTAAGTGGGACAAACCCATCCTTAATCAGCAATTGAAGCATCTAGAGTTGTCTCTTTCCTTTTGATTCTGTAATCATAATAATTTTTCTTATTATGATCATTATTTTTCTTTTCTCCTTCTTTCCCCATCTGGCGCGTGCTATGTCACGTTTTTTCGTATTTAATATTCAAATTGTAACGTAAACAATATGACGTAATTTATAACGTAATCTCATATAAATTCAAATGTACAACCGTTAAAATCGCATTTACAACTGAAGATGACATAAGAATGTCGAAACATGTCTTGCAAACTAAAAGTTGTGGTTTCTTTATTAAGAATTATTGCCACTCTGCTGTCTTTACGTCCTTTTGGTAACATTAACTACCATAATAAAAGTCATGCATTCCTAATGTCCGTTATATAATGTCCGTGATGTGATGTCCATAATGTAATGGCTGTAATGTAATGTCCTTAACCTAAAGTAAGCTTCATTTTTTCTTGTGTTTTTCCAGGATTTTGATGATTAACAACACTCAGGTTTAGGCCCCTAAAAAGTGAAAAAGGGGCCAAGCTGACTTTGTGCTTAAACATGTTGCAAACATCATCAAAAGTAACCTCCACATGAAAAAAAGTAATTGAAGAGTATGCTTTAAATCCTAATGCAACTCATTCACAGCCAAATGTTCCAAATTTGTTTTTGCTGATCAGGAAGTTGATAATTATCAGCACCGATGTTTTTAATTAGTAGCGTGTTGTTAGATTGCTATCACCTTTGTCCCCGAAAATCATACGGAGGGTCACAAATACAGAGCCTTGCATTAGAGCGAGAAGTTGCATCTTATATTAGTCATTACACCTGTTATGACCAAAACAACTATTTAATCATTAGATGCCTTTCAGCTGCAAGGTACAACGTAATGAAACATGGTGTTGCACACTATTGAAGGATGACAGCATTCAATTTATACTCCTAGGTGTCAATTCAAAGAATCGAACCACTGGGTAAAGATTGATGCAAATTTAATCAGTGACCTATCTTGCTACTCTAATGTTATGTTTCATATTTAAAGCAAAATGACATTTATGAAAAAAAGAATAGCACATAATAATATAAACATTTTTCTTTACCATGAGAATAAGACACAAAACATCCTTAAGTATATGTATCATATTTAAAGAGGAAAAAAATGGAGGGAAAAGTGCTTCTGGGAGTTAAAGGGTTAAGGCAGTAATTGTTGCTATTGAACAATATAATGAACTGAAGAAAGCTCTAGGATAATCTGAAAGACATAAACGACATAAGGCTGTTTCACTCGGTCATGCTGAAAAGGGGTTGTTGGAAAATAATTGAACTTAAGAGGAATTCTATAATGGTAAAACCTTCAGATATTACAATTCATGGATACTGCATGCGTCTGCTAACTTTAGAACACAACAGGTTGAACTGGGAACTGAGGAAATCTAATATGAAAATATGTCATTCGACAAATTGCGAAGGAAAACGTTGATAGTTTTTCTGGAAACTTAACTTCGAATTGACTGTTGCATAATTTCACGAGAGCAGTCTATTAAGTGGTTCCTATTACTAGTAAAGTAAAGCTATATGCTAAGGCACTACGAAAGATTGCTTTGAGATAAGAGTTCAAATGCCCAATAACCTCTTTAGTGCACAATGAACCTCATCTTTCCATCCCACCCTCCTCAATGGTTATTTGTTATAAAAATATTCCCTATCTTTTGGGTTTTCTGTATCAGAAAGCCTGTTAATATCATGTTTTAGCACTATTGGATTTATCAGCTCATATGTATTAAATAAGAATCAAATTTTGTGGAAAATAAGTTAATCATTAAGACTGCATGATTCCTCCCAAACATTAATTGTGGTCAAATGTCTTATGGTTTATCAGATTGAATTAAAAGGCACACCAATTTTGTTGAAAAAATATCATCGATAAATAATGATGCCTAACTCGAGTTCTCGGAAAA